TCTGAAAGTAGAGAAAATTTCCTAAGAGATGATATATAGTTTATTTACCTTAATGCTATTAATAAAATGATACGGAGGTCCTGTTATCGCGTTGTCGTGTTTTAACGTGCTTTCGGTCATATTGACCGATGCGGTAGAGAAGGGGTTAAAGCGAAAAAACGAACCTGATAAGAGAGATAACTTCCCAAGGTTTCCAATTACTTATCCTTTTAGAGTTAAGTAATGAGTACTAAATAGAATGCATTTTATTTGAATATATTCTACCTTAAAAAACATTTATTTCTATTTTCTACTGCCAGTATTTTTGATAGTTTCTTTTATTTTTGTTAAAATTGGTAAATATACATGTATTATGCATTTCTTTAATCAAATCAAAAAAGGATTATAAAATTATATTGTAGTTTATAATTTATTTTATGAGACATTTTCAATTTTCATTACTGGTATAATCAAGGCTCGACTGGTTTGTTTGCCGGATGAAACTTCTTGCACTTAGTATTTCATTCATCTGTTTGAAAAATAGAATGAAGTTGTGTAGTTGCCTGTAGCTATAGCGATCAATCTACGAAATTTGCACGCCTGCATTTTAAAAAAAACAAAATTTATTGACATTATTTTCTTTAAATTTTGATATAAAAAAATAGCATTTAAGTGGCTTGCAATATCTGTTTCTCTGTCTTGAATGAATGTTAAAAATGTAAACTTTTTTTTACCCGCCCTTGTTTCTAACACCAAATACATACAGTAAACAAACATCTCAAAGAGGCACGGCATTGATTTAAAGATACAAGATCTGACTATGTTTTACAGTGAGCACTTTTTAGGAATATTTACCTTAGAAGGACTCACGTGACTACAAGTATTTTAAATAATAAATTACACAGATGGATTTAACAAATTAGGTCATACAGGTAAATAGCTCTCTATTGCTTTGAAAAAAAAACTTTAAACATTTATGCATTTTAATATATTAAGTACCAGACTAATCTTGTGCAATTTTCTTACTTTCACACAAGTTTTAAATATGTATAACGCGTCTTTGGCATTTATACAAGTTTGCACGACGTTAAGCTGATATAAACAAAAGCTTTGAAATGAATGACCATTCTCGATTTACTGTACTGTAGAAAATCACAAATGTCTGCTGACCCCTGCGACATTATATGGCTTTGCTCTTTGTATATTCACAAATTTCAGCGGTATTTTTTTTTTCAATCGTATGGTTAATATATCAATTAATGATTTAAGATAAAAAAAATCTTCAATTGATTCTTTATTTTTCACAATTTACGAGTCACCTGTTGTGATTTCGGATTTCTCTTTTGTAATTATATTACATAGATTAAACTTACAAAGAAATAACATCGCAAATAAATTCTTTATATAGTTTTTTAAAAATCTTTGTAATTTTTAAAAATCTATGTAATTCCTGATAATTTTAGGGTTTGGGGTGATTTAAGTAGACATGTATTTATAATAAAGCAAAAAAAAAACAAACTTTTTTTGTATGGTATATAAAGAATTAAATTTATTATCTAAATCATATTAAAAAGAAAGAAATACATGTAGCACTCACTAGAAAGATTTCTTGCCATCGCCAAAATGGTATATGAATGACATACACATACAACCATTTTTTTTTATTATTTTCACGAAATCGAAGATTCAGGGGTATATAGTTTTGTCCTGTCCGTGCGTTTTGTCTTTCTGTAGGTCCGCAAAAACGTTGAGGAACTTCAAAGCTCGCAATAAGCTGTCATACGGGGACATCGGCCTTTCATAAACAAATCTTGACTTTTTGTTTTTTGTTCCTTTTTTAACATCAGCCAATATTCATGTCTTTTCTTGCTTGCAAAATAATTCTACTGGGGAGTCAGAATATAGAAATCTTAAACACCATACATTAGGCCTTTCAACTGCCGCTAGGGGTCGGTTTTATGAACAATAACTCACCGCTGAAACATGTTGAGAGCAGGCTCGGAGTATCTAACTGTTTACATGCAAGGCAGTTTTTAGCATTTCCCAAGTGTTCCTTTGCTCTCAGTAAAATCCAGTGGTTTTAAAATTTAGCACAAATGTTAAACTTATTTATTGTATAGTTGCTGACACCATTTCACTACATATAGTTAAAAGTTTTAATTAAAATAAAAAGTGAGATCAACCCTCCTTAGTTCTAACCTAATCAAATTTTTATACTCGGTCGTTCCCCTTCGTGCTTAGTAACACAAGTAAGATGATTAATTACTGCATATACTTGTAAAAATATACCGGTATATATTTATATATGAATCAAAAAGCGCGCACATAAAAACATGAGATTAAATTTTCTTCTTCATAATAATCGTCAAGGAGAGTTAAAAATATTGAAAATAGTCTTTTCCCCATTCATTTGACCCTGTTATTTCAGTAGAGTGAAGGCATTCTATTTCTCATGGTCAACACTCATTTGTGTACAAAACAATGTAAGAAACCCTTTTGTGTACATAACAATACCAATTCTGAAGCAGCCTATATGTCATTCCTATAAACGATAACTCATAAATCGGCACTAAGTTGGTCATTTTTCACACCTGAGTTACCTATCCTTAAAACACAACATCGGAAAAGTCAATTATAAATAATTAAACTTTTTAATGATGTAATTAAATGTATGCATAAGTTATTATCTTTTTTGATAATTTCATGTACCTATAAATCTATCTATGCAATGTTTTTTACCATATGTGCAACTTGAAAAATTAGTTGAAAGGCCTACATATATGTATCGATATTGGTCTTATACAAATAAAACATACGTCATAGATCAATTAATCATTGAAAAAAAAAGATGGAAAGCCTCAACCGTCCCCCTTTTTCTACCTTTACCAACTGTTTTTAATTATACTCAATTTTTTTACTCAAATAGTAAAAAAATTGTAAATCAACAATTTCGTAACTATTGAGCCATACTAACATAGACAGGATCACGTGAAAACTCATCAATAATAAATAGTCAAACCTTAACGACTGGTATATAGGTTACAGAAATGAATATAATATAGAAGCAGTAACTCGATATGGAAGAACCCGCCGATTTGACAAACATTTAGTTATAAAACTGTTTGCAAGTCTTAAGATGATCAGTCTCTACCGCTTTGGACACGTTCTAGCTCTGTTACAGACATGCTACTCACAGTGCTTCGAACCATTTGACCCAAAAACGTTGATCGTTAGCAATTATGAAAATTCATCTTTTCCAGGTTTTAACCTTTTGAGAAATACTGACAATGCAATGTGCATGATGATTTGTTTCAAGTTTAAGTTGTGTGGCTCCGTGGATTGGATACCAGAAGAAAAGATATGCCGGCTTAACACAAGATTTGTTACCAAGAATAACAGCAGTCTAATGACTACGGGCCAAACCTTTCATGTAGAACGAAAACATTTTCCAGTGGTAAGAAAAAGATCTTGAAATATTTTCATTCAAATTAATTTAATTGAAATTAATATTATTTTACAAATCAGGACTCTGAATGGATTTTATGTTTAGCACTTGGCGGGCAATTGCTTAAACAACATCTGTACTGATGATGCCATTTGTATTAGCGGTAAATGTCTACCTGTTTTAAAAGGTAAGAAAATTACTTCAATTACATTGTAGGAAATGTTTTGTTTGTTGAGTTTAACAATATTTATTTAATAATGCTTAAGGACCATTCTGTCTTCTTAAGTCTACGAGTGTCATTCAAAAAATACGTAGACATTGTCCCTCATCGTCACATTATTATAACAAGATTATAAATCAACACATTTTCGTAAATAAAACATTTGTTTTATCGAAGTGTAAAGTCATCTTTTGTTACCACGGAACGCGGTTATTCAACATTATAACGTCAAAAACAACGTTGAGAAAGTTTCTCAAAATTACTAGAGATGCTTTTTTAATTTCATATACGTTTTGTAGCGGCCTCTCCATTCAAAACATATCTCTAACACTTGACTTCTAGTTTGCTAATAATTGTGCAAATAGCTTAAACTAGATTGTTAATGTTTTCAAATTTTTTACCTCGCCATTCCATTACCTCCGTAACACTGAAGCGCACATCGCGTTTAATTACGTTCCAACTCTTTTGACAATATTTCTTTAACTTTTACCTGTTTCTTTGCAGACCATCTATCGTCCAACTCAAACAATTTACCACTCAAAAATTGTATTTTCAATATATTTTATATATACGGCTTATTTTTCATATATTTCCTGGTTAATACATTTTTTTTTATTTTTTTAAAGAAGTTTCCCGAATTCAAAGCAATTTATATTGCTAATCGCTAATCCGTGACGTCCTCCAACGTCATGCTTTTCTGCCTTTTTTAATCAAGTTCAAATTTATCTAGAAACGGATATCTTTCAAACGGAGCGATATATTACATTACCTGATAGCATTGTAAGTAATATAGCAAGACTTTATTCAAACTTATAAATCTGATTTTGTTTCAGCTCCATATATTAGAGGTAAGACTAGAGATAGTATAAAGTGAAAATTAGTAAATTAATCAATTTTGACGTTGCTCCGTGACCCCATTTTTGCTGTTCTATATTTTCGATAATTTTTATAAATATGACGATATATTCCATTTGTTTACTCAAATTATTCGAATTTGTTGTTAAAATATGTGTACCAAATTTGGATATAATATGACGTCAGATAAAAAAGTTAGAACAAAAGTCTACGAACTTTTTGAATGATCCTCGTATCACAAGTACTAATTTTATTAAATGAGAAGGATTGATTGATTTTGTATTTGTAAAACATCCAGTTTGAGAAATTTGCACACATTCAGCCGTTGAAGGGCTTGAAATTTCGACTTATTTTTTTCAACTCACAGTAACTGATCAGTGAGGGTTATCTATTGTGCCATGTATAAAGAGCACATGTGAAAAAAGAGCAAGTTTAATGAAATTTATTGTTCAGTTTCTTTTACTTTTTTTTTTACATTGAATAGAGAACATATATAAAGACTGTTCTGATATAATGAAAAGAGACCCAAGCAAAGAAGGACAAGATGGAGTGTACGTTATTTACTCTGACACCCGGAGAGAGGTCTTCTGTGACATGACGACAGATGGAGGAGGGTGGACGGTGAGGAATGTTTTAGTTTTTGATACATTACTGAAAAAGTAAAAAATAATCCTTTTATTATGTTTTTCAACTTTAAATGTAAGAAATCTAACACAGCTACAGATGTTATGATAGCTTATCATGAAAACAAAGTAACCAAAGCTATATCATAATAACATTATGGCTGTTGGACGTGAACTTGTCCCGCAAAATTAAAACCTGAATAAGGAATGGTAATCGAGAAACTCTGCATTATACTTGAATAATATAGATTTAGTTGTAATACGTCATTTGATTTGATAAACTATTTATTTTATATCGTATAATAATATACTTTGCCTACGTAACGTACACTGCAATTGACGTTACCTTTTAAGACCATTTTTGGAGGAAAAATCCCTTATTTACTACGCTGAATTTGAATTATGAGGAATAAAGCTTAATCATATTTACCTATTTTCTACGATATACAATATGTTACATAACTTTTTTGCTTCTTTATAAACCGCTTTGCGTTATATCCTATAACAAGGGTGAAAGTAAGCTTCATCCCTTAATTATAGTATTTACCAAACATTAGGTAGTCCTAAATATCTTACATTCCCTTGAGCTTTTTGATATTTTTCGTAACAGAAAAACGTCAGAATCACCGCCATTATGAAAACTGGAAATTGTTTTTAAATACTTGCGAACCGAGTGAAATGCCGAATTCACATTTTATCAATAGTACAACGCTTCTCATCAATATATAGGGAAATGAAAACATCACTCAATATTTTGATACAGGACTTAAAATGTCAGAAATTAAAACAAATCTAGACAGTCAGATAACATGTTTCCATCGGATAGTATATTTTATACAGGAACCATAAAAACGATTTTTGTGAGTACAAAATTGATTGTACTATTATACTGATAAGGTGTGAATTTGACATTTAATTCTGCTTCCAAGGCATGAAAATCAACCCAAAATTGCCGCCTCCGGTTGGAGGCGGCAATTTTCCAGTTTTTGTGATAACGCTGGTTCTGATGTTTTCCCAGCACGTCAAATATCAAAGTCTTATAGGAGTCTTCAAAACATTTGATATTTCGGACTTACATTCCGGGATGATTTTTAACATAACAAAGGACAGCAGAATTTTAATCCTCAAAATGTGGATTTCACTGTACTTGACAGAGTTAAAACAAAAAAATATCTACCTACAAATTTTTGATTTTAATTTGCAGTAGTTTCTTAACATTTACATTTCTAACTGTTCAAACAATTCTATGTTATTCAGTTTTGTATTATATCTATATATAATGGTACATACTGACAAATATGATGACTTCAATCTTTACATATAGTTGAGGAGAATAAATCATAGTTGTTCATGTTTTTTACGAAACAGTATAATTAAAAATCAATTATTGATTACAGGTAATTCAAAAAAGACTAGATGGTGACGTCGATTTTTACAGGACATGGATAGAGTATAAACACGGATTTGGAAATGCCACTAAAAATTATTGGATAGGTATGAATATTATATATATTAAGAGTTATATATATAAATAAATATGAATAAAAACAATCTTAATGAAAAACTCAAGCTTTAATTTTAAGCGCTTGCGCCCCACGCAGCCTCATCTGTAGATTTGAAATTATTTTTTATATTTCTGTGAATTTGAAATTAATTCATAAATATAGGGAATGATGCAATCCACACCTTAACGAGGGATAAAAACCAAGAACTCCGAGTTGATGTTGAGCGATATAACGGGCAACATGCCTATGCTGTGTACACCACATTTTACATCGGAGATGAAGACAATAAATACACAGTGACAGTATCTGGATATAACGGGACAGCGGGTGAGTATTGAGATCTGCACCTGATCTCACCTCTGATGTTTTTGGAGGAATAGGTTTGCTCTGTTTCGGATTTGTATTGTTCATAGTGGACTTTGAGCTTGAATATTGTTTTTTGTCATCTCCATTTTTCATGCCAAATTTCTTTAGTGCTGAGTGATGAGAGTTATAAACTTTTCTTGGATGAGACAATATCGCAAGCTACATCCAAGTGCAAGCCCTTGACTTTTTTCAGGTGATCTGAAACAATACATAGGAATCTTAAGAAAGGACACAAACACTTGATTTTTAAACAGCATCCTTCTGAATGCTTACTTAATGCCCCCTGTGCTCTAAAGCAGGAGCTGAGATCTCTTTCATCTTTATTTCTTTTTTTCAATAAATTTAAGATTCCAATCGACACAAGTGTGTTTGTTTATGGTTTAATTTTAAACCATCAGCATATATTAAAATTTAAAAAAATGAATAACACCGTAACGTTTTAAAACCTCAAATGTTTGTGAAAATACGTGTTTGCATGACTATAGAAATCGGGGGCGGGGGGGGTGGTAAAGACATTGTAGTATAGTTGGAAGTGGCACGGATTGAAAATGGAAAGTGTATGATTGTGCCCCATCTCCAATAGACATTGTCCCTTAAAAACAACATAAATAACATTTTAGAAAATAAATATCTTTTTAGACAAAAACTTACAAGATTGTGAAAATTTTAGCTTAGTATAAAAAATTTTTGTTCAAAGGGTCACTGGCTTGTAATAATTAAAACTAGATATCATATGTATTTTATTCATAATACTCAGTCTTGCAATCTTCTTATCGTTCTTTAAAACATACACTTTATCCTATCTTCATTTTTAGTACACTATGAGAAATATTGAAACATAAAACAACTATTTTTAAACTACATTTCTCAGGAACAGCAACAGTCTCCTCTAACCATTTAAAGCAATAAATAAGTAGTTCGACCCAGCAATCATATGAAGTATCCCTTCCTTTATTGATACGATTAATTAACTAGCCAAGAAGAGTGACGAAAATACAAATAAGTGCTTTTCAAATAGATTGCGGAACCGAGTTTTAAATTAACATACTCACCGTATACACATCAAACATAATTTTGAAAGTGTTTTTGCTGTAATGCAAAATATATCATTTATATGTTATCAATATTCAAAAACAGATCCGAGCAACGATAACTATCTTTATCTTGGCGATTACTTTGTCATGATAAATATTCTATATATAAATAGTATATTTAATTGTCAATTACTAGTATACTGTATTACAGGTGACGGTTTTGTTCATAATGGTATGAAATTTAGTACACATGACCAGGACAACGACTTGGAAAGTCGTAATTGTGCTCAAATGTTTAAAGGCGCCTGGTGGTACAAAGACTGTTTCCGCTCAAACCTGAACGGGAGGTACGCCAAGTCTGCAGTGATTGGCGGTCAATATATGGTATGGAAGATACTGGCGGATGATGAAGCTTTACGAAAGAGTGTGATTATGGTAAGGCAGAGAAACTGACTTAAATTATGATCAGCCATTACATTATGCAGCAATGGAAGTGTACAGAAGCTCTACATAAACTAGGACTGTGATTATATAGACAAAATAGAGTTTAGTAAAATTATTAGCAATTAAGTCTATTATTTGTAAGAATTTTGAATGTTTGGTGTTATTAAAGATGTGCTTGTATATTTGGAATAGATTGGATGCACTCTAAAACTTAATTATTTCAGAACGTTTTTATTAAACATGCAAAATAATATAAAATAATTTTTTTTTTGTTTATTATGAATTCATCGATATTGTTATCATTTAAGAGATAAAAGCGATAAGATCATAAAATTTATTAAGGCAATGTTTCACTAGTCATGAAACTACTTTCTGAAAGAATCAAAACGAGATTGATTTCTGTACTTTGAAGTTCACAGTTTAGGTGAAAATGGAAATATCGAAAAATTTTCTTGATGAAAAATACATTCTTTTCAAGGATGGAGAATTCATTTTAAGTACTTTACTGATATCAGAAAAATGTAATTGGGCTCAAATCTACATGTTGAGGAGTTTCTGATTTTTTATTTCGACTTGTCACTTGATATTGGAATGACATAGTTTTCGCAAATTAACGTGCAGTATTGAGATCATTAAGAAATTTCAATATCGCAAGGACATAATCATGTTAAAAATGTAAGTTTTAATTATAATTCTTATCAACACCATATGTACATCGTGAGAAGTGCTGAGAACCTATTTATATTTCACTATTTAATTTTTGCTATAATTTCATTTGATAGACCACAGTTTGAATAATTTGCGGGTCAAGTACATTAAATATTGGTAGACATAATCAATTCATTTGCAAGATTTTATCAGGTTCTCAGCACTTTTTAAATTCCTTAATGTATTTTTTTTTTTTTTTTTTTTTTTTTTTTATTTTTTTTTTTTTTTTTTTTTTTTTGGTTTTTTTTTTTTTTTTTTTTTTTTTTTTTTTTTTTTTTTTTTTTGAGTTTATATGTAAAAAGTTGGAATGATACATAGAGTGTATGTTCTTGCGATAAACTGATTTATCAGGACCCTTCTATTGTACAATGATAATTAATCTGCAAAATAATTTGAAACCTTAAAAAGGCAATCAAGAGACACCTGAAAACACCAAAGAATGTATCAGGTGTCTAACAGGAGTAAACATTCCCAGTTGGTCGATTTAGCCCGTTGTGAATCCTATATATTGTTCAACTAGTTACCATTGCTCTGAAAATTGGTGAAATGTGTAAAAACAGTGGATTGAATCTGTTGCCACGGTAGAAGTTGGACTTGTGCATTTGTTCTTACAGCTCAGTTTATTGAAATTGTGAATCGTTTTCTTCAACTAATATACGGATTTTCTCTGTTGCCACAGAGGAGTGAGTATCTCCTTCCCACGGACATTCTCCGCATGCTTCTTGTTCTGTTTGGTGAAAACAGTAAATTCTTAGTTAAGTTTCATGTTCACTATATTTAACTGTAGTGAATTATTGTTAGGGTTGGTGAATGACTTGAATATCGTAGCAAATGTTTTCTTTTTCTCATGCATGTCTACTATAGTTTATGAATATGTTTTTCTTCACGGACGGCAAGGTTCAACTTATGAAAAGGTACACCGTAAAAGAGGAATATTACAAATGTATGACGTTAGAATGAAACGTGAATGTTTAATTTGTAAAATGCTCTTTAACATCTGTTCAATCATGATGACAACTATGTAAAAGAGAATGGCTGCGTTTTATGTTAGCAATCATTTCTTTTGAAGTATGATCATTTTTTTAATGATTTATTAATCTACATTATCAAGAGATTCAAAATACCATAGTTCATTGATATTCTTATTGCTCTGAAAAGTAAGTAAGACTACCAGCTAATTAACAAAACAATTAGAAAATACTTTTCAAATGAGTAATCCTCATTTTACATGCCGTTTATTTGTTATGAAAGTTAAGAATTCCAGAGTTTTTTAAACTCCTAAATATCAGTCATTAAATGACTTTATTTGCTCGAGTGCCGAATAAAGAAAGATAATGTTGTGTTACTGAGAATTCTTCCACTTTCTACGTATGGAACTCTTTCTGAGACTTGGTCCTAAATTTGGTAATGCAGTGTCTTCATTCTTAAACTCTTGACACTCATTTTACCTAAGATCTACATTAGAGTTCTTATATTATATGTCGGTTTAGGCGAACCGAGTAGGAAAATGTATTAAATCAAAGTCATGATACGGATATCATAAAATTTACGAATTGCTTCTATTAGCATAGGTTTCTTGAGAGAAAAAATATGTTTGTTGAAAAAGGGGGATACTAAGGCCTAAACAACATTATAATTTTCTGAGTGAATGTTAGATGTTCGTTAGAACCTAAATTTCTCTCTGAACATTAAATGTTTGCATGAAAATGATATACACAACATGCAAACATAACTTTTCACAGAAGCTCACTCGAGGGAGCGCTCTTTCTGTGATCGGAAGGTCGTGAATTTATAAACAAGTTATCAAAAGAGTACATTTATTTTATAAATAAAGAGTTGAAAATACCGTGAATTGTGATTTATTTCTTTTTTCTTTTGCTTGTGTTTACATGTACCTTGCCGATTAATGTTTATCAAATGGTATCAACACACGCTGTTTCAATCGCCTTAGGACAGAAAATCAGTGCATGTCATTTGGGTATACGTATCAGCGTTTCACATCATTGAACATGCTGATAAAAAATGACCATAATTTCAATCTACCGGTATATAATGCAAAAATAAAATTGATAAATGAAATGTGTATGAATTTCTTTCAGGATCAACTAATTGTGAACATGAGGGTTCCATTCTGGCGATATACAGATGTATATTCTTATAACATTTACAAATGAAACACTTCAAAACTGAGTATCATAGAGATAGAGAAATGAACAATAATTCAATTGACATGTCAGTAAAAATAATTATGACTGAAAAATATTTATTGGCAAAATTAACAAAGAATTTTCTAAAAGCCCCAAAAATACCTTTTGAGTATCCCGATAGTATGGAAATTGGCTATATAATGATGAGATTTATTTTAATTCTTACTGGTGGAAAATGATTAATTCACGTTTAATTTTCTGTATAAAAAAATAAATATGGGAAAAAGTATAAATCACAGAAAATAAAGAAATTGAATTATTAATACACCGGATAATTGTGGTTAAATGTTCATGTTCAGTTTAAGTCATACATGTACGTGCGAAAGCCTTCTTCCTTCAATAAATATTAATTCAATTTGTTTCTATGCGCGTACTGTTCATAAATGACCTTCGGATACATGTAAGGATTCCTGGCATACTACCCAGAATCAATATCTACTGCCATTTATAGTTCCATCGTTTATTGCAAATCTCATTTCTGAGTTAGCTTCTCCCATTAAACTAATAGACCCCGCCCACTGCAACTACTGGGACTGCTCTCTGGGACTGCTGTGGGTCTGCTCTGGGACCGCTGTGGGACTACTTTGGGACCGCTGTGGGACTGCTTTAGCAACTTTACCGTTGTGTTGCAATCGCATGGACGTGGCACAATGTTAAAATTTCTTATAATTTTATTTTAAATAAAAGAAGTGGAGTATTTACGCATTTTATTCATATTAAACAATATATGCATCGAAAGAAAGTTACTTGGAGAAACAGTAGTCATAAGCAGGTATTGTCTGTAAGCTCAATTACTATGCGATTGCATTGTTTACCTCTAGGCACCAAGAAGCCAAATTTTGAAAGTGCTAATGATAAGAATCGGCAGGGAAAAACTTCCAGGGTAATAATTATAATTTAGTTTAATTATAGTTTCGCCGAACTTCCTCGATCGATCCTACCGTGTGCAGTGCTAGTGTGTATATTATAAAATCCAACCACCCTTCTACATTACGTAATTGCGAGTTCCTCGATCGATCCTACCGTGTGCAGTGCTAGTGTGTATATTATAAAATCCAACCACCCTTCTACATTACGTAATTGCGAGTTCCAGTTTACATATGTACTTATGTGAAAGCTTTGACAATGTTTGAACACACACAAAAAAATATTTAGAAATCCGTTAGCGTACAATAAATTTTAGCGCCCGTAGGCTCTTGCGCCAAAAGCGCTAAAATTAGTAGTGCGCCAAACATTCTCGTTTTACATTATACATTAATAAGAACATTAAGAAATGCCCTTCATCGAATCTACTCTAACTTGTTAAAAGGATCACTTTCCGCCAAATATTGTACACGCTGTATTTAATATATTTACATTATTGTCATGGACAAGGGTACTTGATTATCTGTACTGAAATATGCATACTTAGCAATTTCTCAGCCTGCCTTAAAAATTACATTATTTAGTCAGATATACTGAAACGCAAAGGAAATTCAACAAGCAATAGTCTACAAGTATCTCAAATTTTTAAGTAAATATTTTCAAAAATGAATACGTTTACGTTAAACTTGATTTTAAAACTTTAACTTTAAAAAGTAACACATGACTGTTAAGCACCTCCTTCTTGTCATTCAATATCAGCGTTAACGACATCCATCCACTACAATTGCTGATTAATTTCCACGATGGGATAAGTTAATCTGTTTCGAGATCTGAATGAAAGAAATATTTTTTGCCATTTTTAAAAATATGTTTATCAGCAATGAAGTATGTTTCAAAAATGACAAAAAGCGACCTCGGTCATCCTAATGGGACATGATGCAATGACAGATAAATGTACTCTCAGTAGTTGAAACGACGTCAGAGACAAAATATTTATTCAGACAACTTAACATCATTGGAATTTAATTAGCTTGTTGATGCGTTATTGGTGTATACGATTTTTCAACGGTGTGTAAAATTTTAGAGACACTACAAGAAGATGAAAATCACTGTTATTTGATGAAAACAGGGTATAGTTATTCTTGACGTTGTTATAAATCTAGCCTCCTTGGACTGAACTGTGTGTACCAGATGTTTATATTGACGACACTCGTGAATAATCATGTTTGTTGTTATGAATAAAAAATAAATTTTAATCAATTATGTTCTTAACATAAAATTATTGCACAAAATTGGCAGTGTGACATAATAAAGAAAATTAATTTGCGTCCATAAACATTTGACAAAAATTCATGCTAAATCAATATTTTTGACGTTGTCATGGAATTAGCATTTCGTCAGATTGGCCCCTGCATATACAAAGTATTTACACCTTTAATGTT